ACCTTCACCGCAGCCATCCCGCTACCCCTCCCGCTGTTTGCTTGACCATAAACTGAGAGGATGACCGCAGAGGAAGGGAAGGAGAAAAGCTGCGGGGGGAGGAGGAGGGGGAGAGGGAGGAGGACAGAGGATGTCGAAAAGCGTTTTCTACACTAAAACAACTGCTACCTGAGCCTCTGGGGTGAGGGCGGGGAGGAGCGAATGGCCCTCTTCCCCGTCAGTCCCCTTCTGGATCCATCAGTGTGCTTTTTAATCTGTGTAACTTTTAGTATTTTACATTAATTTAGTAACTGGCTGTTGCTTGAGAATTTCCTTAGTTATGACAAACTGATGATTCAGTAAGACAGTCAAATTGCCTTAAGTTATTTATTTTTGCGGAAAAAGAATCACCACCGGCCTTGCCAACAGTTATTTCTTCATAGACATAACGACTACCAACTTGCTTGCAAAGAAATATCACGCAGTTACTTTTGTAATGATGAAAAAAGAGAGCATTCCTATTCTGTTGATTACTTTTTAAATTATACTCATGTAGATATCATTGTTGCAATATTCATATCATATCATGATTATTATTTCGCATTATTAAATCACTACAATAATACTGTGCTTTTTTTAATATTGCAATAATACTGTGCTTTCCAGAAAACAGGGCAATCGTTTGCGTATTTTGATGCTGTTCGGTTGGCCATGCTTAGCACCATCACTACAAGATCAAACGATGAAATATATGGGCCATTTGCTGATTGCTTATATTATTCGAGGATTCAATATCAATCGCAAAATTGTCCTCCAGGTTGCTTACGTAGTTTTTGGAAGCATCTGATAATATAGCTGCATGTAGTACTGCTACTGTGTTAGTTGCAAACGACTCATGCTCTCTGTTATCTCGATGATTTCATAATCGAAATATGAAATGTGTAATTCGAAAGGCAGCATCGGATAACACATGATTTCCTTCTCCTGTACTTATCTGAGGAAATGGCTACCCTCGGAAAACCAGGGGAAATTCAAAAAGTATGCGTTGCATGTAGTAGAAGCATTAAAATCATAGAATATTATCTGAGTGACATGCATATATAAAACCTCTAAGTGCTGTGTGATGTACGGTGATCAGTAATGTATTGGTATCACGTCATGATTTGAAGAATCTGAAGATGAGTGGTTTGAGAGCTTGAAAGAGTAAAAATTATATTTTTACGCGTTGTGCTGTGTAACAGCAGTACAAAATGCATATTGTCACGGGGTTGTCTGTATGTGTGTGTCCGCAGCAACTTGTC